TTTCTAATCTACTATAAAGATAACGCAACCCAATAAGATAACACACAACAAAACCGAAACTGAATGAAACAAAAACGGAATAAAAAATCGTTGTATCAATTTTCTCTTCCTCAGGGCCGACAAACTTCAAACCTTTAGTCAACCATTTTTTCCAGTTTGCCTGAGAAATTTCTAGGGATAGGCAGCTTGAAACAAAAACAAGATAAATCAAAACAATAACACATTGTTTTTTGAATTGGTCACCCATTCTTTCGCTCTTCCTCAGGGGCGAGCAATTTCACTTACCTCCAAGCTTTAGATGTTCCCCGTAGGAGCCGCCAAATGCCGCAGTCTGGCTGGGCACACAATCACGAGCCACCACACAGCTTGTAGATTCAAACAGCAACTCTTTATTCCCAAACTCACACCAGCCGTCTACAATCACGTTCTGGGGAAATCCACGTTCTCTGCCCAAATCCACCTCCACTGGGCTTCTATCTCCAAAATATACTGTCTGAATCCCGTGAGAACTCAAGGGGTCAGGCAGCAGGATACGCCCTATTCCCAGCAGGAATAATCTTAAACCTTAAACCTGGAACCTAAACCGGGAACGCCCTAATCCGCCTTGGTCCTTGAGCGAGGTCACCTACATTCAATGTCACTGCAACATGGAGTACACTGGCAAGGAAATTGTCATACCTACTTGGCTAATGGCTCCCAGCACTTAGTAATGTTATTGTATAACTAAGTGAAAAAAAAGATGTAGTCATCTTTGGGGGTGGAAATATTCCCCACAATGAGAGAATTGGCTGGACAGAAAAATGACAGGTTTAAGAAAGACTGCTCTGAGAACAGTCTGTGCATTCCCACTTCTACATGTCTGATTTTGGTTAGTAGATCCTCCACCTTAATCTTTTGGTGCTTTAGTTCCAGCAGTCTTTTTAGAGTATGGGATAGCTTTTCATGGAAGGTTTTCTTTAGCTGCACTGGTAGTACTTGTCAGTTTTTTCAGCTATCATCACTGTTAAAGAAGAAAACAGTAAAATATAAAAAGACTGGTAATGGATTTTTTCCTTGGCAAAGAATTAAGAACTACTGACTCCAAGACAATCAGTACCCTGTAGCAACCAGGGGTAAGCTGTAAAAGGTTTTGTTGCTTCTCAAACCTTCGTTTTGTCACAGGGTTATAAGTCTTGTTTTAGAAAAAGTTCCTTTTGTCACACTGTCAAATTAAGAGTGTTTTTACTTTCTCATTTAGTGTGAGAATTCCTGCATTATATGAGACTTTAGGTTTATTTATGAGGCAGTCCAGAATAGTAAGAATGAATGGTGATTTTGGAATCCCATTCTGTGCAGAAAAGCTAGGCCTTCAGAGAGGCCTAAACAGGATAACCTGCCAGCATGGGTCCAGTGAATTACCATTCGGTATAAAGAAAAAAATATCGTAAGTATTCATGTGGAATACTGTGAGAATGGTTTTCTTTAAGAAACCAAAGCAAAATTTAGAAGACACTTTTCATTTGTCTTAAAAGATCAAAGAAGTCAGACCTTTTATAGAGTTAAGATAAAGAAGCAACAAGATGTAGGTTTCAAGAGTCAGGGTTCAACTAGAGAAGGAAAACTGAAGGGGAAATAAACATTTAAAGATTCATGAATAGCTGGGGAGTCTGGCTAAATAAGTGGACAAGGTCAAATCCACCAACATGGGCGAAACCTGTTGTCCTTGGGTCCTCAGAAAAGAGAGATCCTGAGCAGTGTGGAATTCCATAGGCATTGGCATAGGCTGAATGTGTCCTCCATAGACAAGGTCCTTACTCCAGGGTAAAACTAAGCCCTGCTTTTATTTTACCTTTTTTTTTTTTTTTTTTTTAGCTCCGCTTTTAAAGAATTCCAACTGATTCACTCAGGTCTTACCCCATGTTTACCAGGATAAATCTCCCTTATGAAATCAATTGATAAAAGAGCTTTAATTAATTACATCTGCAAAAGAAGCTATCGGAAGGGCATAGATGGAGAGCGAGTTGGTAGAAATGCTGCAAGGACACCCAGAATCCCAGGGCATAATTAAATTCACATTGAGATGAAGAACTCAATTGAGCTTGTAGGAAATTCAGTTAATGATCAGGAAAAAAAGGTTGAGTAGCTCTCAGAATACGGGGGGAATAATCACAAATCGTTAAAGAGAAAATACAGAAACTGAGAATAGAGAATTGGGGATTTATCATGAGTTATTGGTGATTTGCAGTTTGAGACAGAAGGAACAAAAAACAGTATTAAAGATAGTAATTTGGGTAAAAGTTTCTATACTTTTTTTTAAATTAGAGCTTTAAAGTTATACATAGTAGTTGGGTTCATTCCAACAACCTCATACATTCATGGAAATTGATTTCAGTTGATGATTCTCCCCCTTTCCTCCTATCCTCCTTCCCCTCTCCTATTTTTTTTATCTACTTGACTTTTTGCTCATCTATTAATTTCTGTTTGATCAGTTCTTTATAATATCCTATCTTCTCCCCACTGTTTCCTTTATTTTACCTAGCTTCCGCATATGAGAGAACATTTGACCTTTGAGTTTCTGAGTTTGGTTTATTTCATTTAGCATCACATTCTTCATTTTCATCCATTTACCAGCAAATGACATAATTTAATTCTTTTTTTTTTAAAGATGGACACAATACCTTTATTTATTTACTTTTATGTGGTGCTGAGGATCAAACCCAGTGCCTCAACGTGCGCCAGGCAAGCACTCTGCTGCTGAGCTAAAACCCCAGCCCCAATTTAATTCTTTTTTATGGCTGAGTAGAACTCCATTTGTGTATGTTTGTATACACCACAATTTCTTAATCGTTTCATTTATTGACAGGCATCTGGGTTTATCTCATAATTATTGTGAATGTGCTGCTATAAACATGGAAGTGGCAGTGTTGCTATAGTATGTGGAGTTTAAGTCTTTTGGGAAAATACCAAGGAGTGGGGCTTTTATGCCCTTAAAACAATACAGACTAGAAGAAATTCCACTTATATGTTAATTTGTTAATTCCTTTGTACCTTGGCTACCTCTTCTACAAACCTAATTCAGATGACTTATGTGAAGATAAAATAATGTGTGGAAAATGAAGAAGGGAACATTTAAATAAGCTGACATGTGTAATGCATGTCATAGAAGAATTTTCAAATCCTCGTTTTGGTTGTGGGCAAGCTATTAATTCTGTGAACTTATGTTCATTTGCAAAATTAAGACAGTGAGACCATATGGGGTTATTGTGAGAATAGAAGGGAAAATGTTGCTATAAACTACATATCCCACTAAATGGAATGTAGCAGTTCCTCACTGCATATTACTTTTTTTCAATCTGTTGTTTGCAGAATGAGGCTAGCTAAAAGCAGATGTGGCACCTATTACTGAAAACTTCAGAAGGAGACTAGAGGAGGATTAGTGTAGGGATCAGGGTGCCAGGTTCTGAGCAGGTATGCGGCCTTATTGTTGAAATTTCGTGACTCAAAGTCTAAACTGACTTGGAGTAGATAAGGGACTAAAAATGGTAGGGGGGAGGGGAGAAATCTACTTTAAGGAAGTATTAATCTCCCTTTAAGGCTGGAATTAACCAGCTCTGAAAACTGTCACATTTCCTGGTCAGTAAGTGCCTCATTCATTCCTTAGTTTTTGATAGGAATGTCAGAATGCTTGTGAGCGACTGTAAAGCATAAGTCAGATGACAATGTTTGATTTTTTTGTGAGAGTTCTTTGTGTCCTTGCCACCCACCTCCTCAGACGTGTTGATTATTACAGTTTGTACTTGCACATGTAATGGGGCATCAACTTTTTTCCCCCCTGTACTTGGGATTGAACCCAGGGCTCAGTGAAGAAGTTGAGGCCCAAAGGAAGCCAGGAGAATGAGATGTGAAAGCTAAGACATGAGGAAGAAGGCAGGCCCAACCCTGGAGTTGAGTAATGCACAGCCTCTTGGGGTGACATTCAGCAGCCCTGAAGTGGCCTTATGTCCTGTCAAGAGCATGACTGAGGAAGAGGGTGTTGCTAGTGAACCCAGAAAGTGACTTGAAGTCTAGGAGGACTGGGCAGAGAGCAGGGAGAAGGAGAACTGACATTTAATGAGTACATGCTGCAGCCAGTCATTAGACTAACATTTCACTTGCCTCCTCTCATTTGTAACAACATCTCTGAGTGATGGTCTACTACTCTAGGAATGAAGAAAGTGAGGCTCAGAGAGGCAAATGAATCATGCCTGGTAACTACCAGGTTTGAACCCAGAATTGTCTGACTCCGAAGTCCTTGCTTATTCCACCATTTTCATAGTGACTCATACCAAGAAGGACCCTTCGTTTCAAGTGGAAGAACCCCAAGCACATGTTTTTCTTTCTGAAATTATTAGCGTATTGTCTGTCTTATTATGCCTGCAGATGCATTTATTTTTCATATTAAACATGCAAACAAAAAGCTGGCAGTGCCAGCCGTTTCATGTGCCCTTAATGTCAGGGAATAAAAAGACCTGTGTGTACTTAACAGGTAGAACCTGTTTTTAGTGTTTAACTAGCCAACTCTTGTCTGGGTGTTCTTTTCAAATGTAATTACACCCTTTATGATACATCCATTCTAAGTCCTAACAGCTATTCCCCTTGTGTCCCATCTTGTGTGACTGCCTTTATTATTTATTTGTATTTTTAAAGGAAAAGAACATGTGTGAAGTCATCTTTATAAACCTCATTGTGAAATTTGTTGAACAAATGTTAAAATACAGAAAGAACTTGATTCTTTTTGTGGGAACGTCTCCTATGTAAGATTTTACTTCCCATACTTTTTTCTAGCTTTCTTTTGTCTTTACTTGGGGTCGATTCTACTTGACCTCAATAAAGGTCTTCATGCTGTGTGCAATAGCTTACCTTCAAAATATCAGGCACTTGGAGGTAGTGGCGTTTACTTGTCTTTTGTTTGTTTGCTTGTCCTGTTTTTTTTTTTTTCCCCTTCTGATAGTCTTATTTATTTTCATGTTCTCCCAATTTAGATGGTGGCCCCCGGGAGACATTGATGCATTTTGCTGTGCGGCTGGGACTGCTGCGGTTGACATGGTTCCTGTTGCAGAAGCCGGGTGGCCGCGGAGCTCTCAGCATCCACAACCAGGAAGGGGCAACACCTGTGAGCTTGGCCTTGGAGAGAGGTTATCACCAGCTACACCAGCTTCTAACTGAGTGAGTGCTTATTCTCTCTCCCTCCCCACATCCATTGCCAGCTCCACCTCCTGATTCATAATGGTACCACCCACTTGGTATCATCTGCCTGTGAGCTTGCCATGAATTACCACCTCAGCCCTGTGTCTTGCCTTCTCCTGGAGGTTTGTAAGCTTGTTTCTACTGACTGGTTCAATATCTGAGGGACACAAACGTAAGTTATTGCTATTTTCTCCCCTGCTTCCCTGCTTCTTACCTCTTACATTTTACCAGACACTCAGAATTAATCTTTTCTCTGGGGGTAACAGAGCATTACCAATGTATAGGGTTCATCTTGGTTTTGTATAAGAGGAAAGTTTTCCTAATCCACTTTTTTTTTTTTTCTGGTATATCTTAAGACTTGAAAGATTAGTCAAAAGTATTACTTTCATATTATAACTGCTTATAGAAAATATTATAAACAATTGAATTTTGGTTTGAATGTAGTTTCTGTGAATAAAATTGAGAGCAATGGTCTCTTAATATGAATATCAGTAAAAAGCTGGCTGAATTGTTTAGGAATCATGCAGTAGGAAATCCTGTTTGTCTCTGGCTCCGATCGTTTCAATTCTGATCTGACTCTTTAAAGAAAGAGGCCTTTGGAGGATGGTTGTTAGTCAAAACATTTGAAGAGTTTGGTTTATTTATTTCTTCTTTTCCTTGTATAAATAGGGAAATAAGCACATTGGAGCAGCCAACACTTTTTAATTGGAATATTTATAAAAGTCAGAAACTTTAAGAAGGTTCTGTTATTTAATATATTTTCTATTAGTTTTATGCGTATCATATTTTCTACCACATTATCCGAACAAGAATAAACCATCCGTATTCTTTAATGATTGAAGGACCCTTCTAAAATGAGGCAGTTTTCCCAAATTCTCAGATATTTGCGCATGCCGGATTCAATTTGGTTAAATTTTATATTTTATCATTTTTAGCAGTGTGTGAAGAAGGTAGTGTGTGGAAGGACTGTGAAGACATCTGAGAGTGTAATGCTACTTACAGTTATATAAACAGTTTTTTCTTTTTTCATTTTTCAAACTTACAACTTTCTCAGTCAAGCCAGATGGAAGCTTCTTTGCAGACAGCTTTCTGATGGGTGCTACAGATACAATGGTGGTAGAGGGAGCTTTCTTTATCTCAAATGAGCTTTGGATACCTGAGCTTCCGTGTGACAGTATTCCAGAGAGTGATATGTTCCACTCCTTCGTACTTCCCATCTGGCCAGAGATTGGATTCATTCTGCTGTTTGCCTCATGGTCTCAGGAAGGGAGGTAGGGAGGTATTGTTCCAGAAGATGAAACAATTAACTCTGTATACTGTTGTGAAGTTCAAATGCACTTCCTCTAAATTTGATTTTATAGCTCAGAATGCTTTCTGGGAAGCAGAGTTGGTTAAGGATTGCCATCCAAAAATGGGGAAACAGTGATTACAACAGCTTCGTTATAATGCTTAGAAGGGGATGTCACAAGACTGTTATTGCAGCACAGCTTTAAGAAAACTAGAGTATGTTTATTCTTGGAGAATTTTTGCTCACTTTAAAGTACTGCCCTGTTAAATGTGGAAAAACCAGTTTTTTCTTTTGAAGGGAGAGAGGTAAGGGAAAACCAACTTGAGAAATCTCTAAGTAGAGGACTTTGATAGGAGAGTATGAGCATCTTGCTGCAAGTCTAGCTCTTAATTTGAATTCTTCTGAACTGTTAATGCTCTGAAGCCTAGAAAAAGTGCTGAGTCACAGCTAGCAATTAAGAAATGATAAGGAGGTAATTCTCCAAATCCCTCCATCTTACTGTGGTACTGGCAGTCTTTGCTAGAATTTCAAACAGGTTTTTTTTTTTTTTTGGCTACTCCCTATGTTCTTTTTGGTGTGTATTCATATACCATAAAATTTAACTCTTTTAATCATTTTAAGGTGTATGATTCACAATGATGTTTAACCATCACCACTATCCATTTCCAGAACTTTTTCATAACCCCAAACCAAAACACTATACCCATAAAGTACTAACTTCCCTTTTAGTCTCTTTCCCCAGCCCCTAGTAAACTCTGTTCTACTTTCTACCTCCAAGAATTTTCCAGTTCTAGTGAGAATCATTCAGTATTTGTCCTTCTATGTCTGACTTCTTTCACCTAGCATAATATCCTTATGTTGTAGCATGGGTCAGATAATAATTGCGGAAAGATTAGATTTTAAATGTTCTCATCACAAAAAATAAGTAGGTAAAGTGATGCCATGTTAAGTTACTTGATTAATCTTTCGATAATACATTTATATACATATATCAAAACATCACATTGTACCCCATGCATATATAGTTATTTTTAAAAAAAAAAAAGTCCATGCATAGCCAAAAGATGGGAATACCCTAAATGACACTCAGCAGATAAAGAAAATATGTTTAAATGAAATGGAATATTATTCAGCCCTTAAAAAAGAGAAGTATCATCTTTATCAGATGAGGAAACTGATCCAAACGGGTTAAATTTGACTACATTTTTTTTTTAATATTTTTCATTGTAGATGGACACAATACTTTTTAAAAAAATTTTTTTTTAGTTGTATATGGACACAACATCTTTTATTTATTTTTATGTGGTGCTGAGTTTTGAACCCAGTGCCTCACATGTACGAGGCAAGTGCTCTACTGCTCAGCCCCAGCCCCAGCCCCTTTTATTTTATTTATATGTCGTAATGAGGATTGAACCCAGTGCCTCACACATGCTAGACAAGCGTTGTGCCACTGAGCCACAACCCCAGCCTGCAGGGAAGGGAGATTTTATTGACTTATTACTCCTTTAGTTTAAATTTTGATTTTATATTATGATACAAATATATTTATGATCTGAGAATTCACCTTAAATAAAATGTTACCAGGTTTTTGAGAAATCTTAACCCCCAGAAGATTACACCTAATCCTGTTCCTGCTTTAGGTGCACAGTCTTCCCCAATCTGAAGACCCCACCCAAGGTCACCTAGCTAGTGATGGGATAAAGTAGGGACAGAATCCTGGTCTGTAGGCTCTTGGTAAAATGCTAGGAAGTGACTGCTTGAGATGAATGTGGCATTGGTGTCATCTAAGATGAGAATATTAAAGCCAAATGTTATCATATATAGCTGATAAATTGCACATCACAAAGAAGGAATTTTAGGACCTGGACTGCTCATGTGGGGAAGGGCCAAACTGAGGATAAGAGGCAGCTCTAAATATGCAAACTTGGAAGTCAAATCTAAGTTTGCATTTTGGCTCTGCCATTTTTAGCTGTATTATTATATTCATTATAATATTTAATATTATAATATGTATTACTATATTTGTTATATTTGTTATAATAATACAGCTAAAAATATCAGATATATACTAAATAATTCTCCTCTTTAAGCCTTGATTTCTTCATTGTATAAATAAAAGATGATAATATCTACCTCGAAGAATGATAGCAGATGGCCTGCTGAAAAATTGGGGCTTTTCATGCAGATTCTGGTCATTTGTAGAGCCGTAAGTATTTCAAGTTTGAAGAGAGAGAGAGAGTGCGATATGAACTGCTGAGAGGTGAAGAGTTTAATTAAAATCTAAGCTTTCTCATTTAGTAGCTTATATGATTTGGGAAAAAAATCACCTATTCATTCTGAGTCTCGTGTTTCTCATTGCTTATTGATAATACAATTCGGCCTACATCTCAAGGTTGTTGGAGCTAAAATGCTCCAACATGTCCCTTGAGAGCCAATTTAAAAGTATTTGTCCTCATAAACTTTGTATCATTTTTTTGTATCAGTTCAACAAATCTTTATTTATTGAGTGCCTATAGTGCACTGGAATCCATAGTTGGTAAATTACAGATATAATTTTATTTCAGCCTTATGATGACTGTCCTAAAGTTAATTTGTTTTACGGGTAGAATGTGGAAGCTTGAGAGTAAAGTGACTCCCCAAGCCTATTAGAGTAAAGTATTAGAGCTACTCTTGCATAGACATCTGTGGAATTCCAAGGCCCATATTCTTCCCCTACAGGAATGTGAGGGGAAAGAAGAGACTCAGAAAGAAGCTACTGATATACTGGATGAAATAGTACTTAATTTTGAAAGTGCTATATGGTTTTCATTTAGCACCTCTTCTCTATTTTTGCTGAAGAAAACATGGTCCTTACTATAATAATTTTACCTTTATATTACCCATCATTTTAAAGAATTATTGATTACACTTAAGCTATTGTTTTACATTTTGATTCTCACTATGGCCAGATGAATGGGTAGAGTAGGTGGTATTATCTGGGTGAGAGAAGTGAAATGTCTTGCTCAAGGTCACAAAGTATCAGAAACTAGGCTTAGATCCAAAGTCCACTAATCTGTCCAGTTTGAGAAGATTCTTGAGAATGTGCAAAACACCGACCCAGCCTGGCTAGCACTAGGTGCTCAGTCATTGCCCATTGTAGTAGGCAGTGCTGACCCCTGAGAACTTACAGGGACAAACCCCTCAGAGGTTTTGTCCCTGTAAGTTCTCAAGTTCTTCCTTTGAGATGCTTACACGGGAAAACATGGCTTCAGGGTCAGGAAGTATAAAAGCTACTCAAGTATACATATTTTCATACTAAAGTCAAGTACTGTTACACAAGATGTTTGGTCAGCATAGTGATTTCAGGGTCCTCTTCAAATACTTGACTGTGGGTCCTCAGTAGCCTATCCAGTGCAGAACGAGATTGGGACCTTTGGTTTTGCTTAAGGGGAAAAGGATGGAGAAAAAAAAGGTGGGGGTAGGGGTGTACAAACTTAACCTTCAGAATCATGGCCTGAGAACCGGATTTGAAATGACTGGACATTTTTCTGGCCTAAGTCCTATTTCTTTATCTCACTGTGAATCTGTCTGACCTCCTTTGTCACTGTGTGATCTGGGTCTTTGTGTTTTGGTAAAAATGAAGTGGTGGAAGTGGGTGGAAACTAGAGATGGGGAAGAGCACTAACATTTATTAAATACAAATACCTGCTTT